GTGATGTGATGGCACTCTACCCAGGGGGACAGCTTGAGGCTCTGTCTCAAAAAAAAAAAAAAATAATAATACATGGCTGAGTGGAGTGGTTCAGGCCTGTAATTCCAGCACTTTGGGAAGCAAGGGGGATCACTTTAGGGTAGAACTTCAAGACCAGCTTGGGCAATATAGAAAGACCCCTATCTCTCCAAACATTTTCTTAAATTAGCCTGGTTGGGCTATGTGCCTATAATCATAGCTACTATGGAGGCTGAGGCAGGAGGATCACTTGAACCCAGGAATTCAAGGTTATAGTGAGGGACAATTGGCAGCTACTCTCCAGCCTGAGAGACAAAGCAAGCCCATCTCTAAAAAAAATGAGTCATGATCCCTACTTTGAGGAAGTTCAAGCTGTAGGTGTGATGAAGTGAGTCCTAGATTAGGTTAGGATATGGAGTCCATTCCTAGCATTTTGTCTAGCTGGCTACATGACCTTAAGTAGGCCATTTCACTTCTCTGGATCCATTTCTTTGTAAAATATATGTATCTCCAACCAAGACATTTTATGCTCTTTAAATCTGTGGCCTTGTAGAAAAAATAAGATAACATGAATCAGTCAAAAACATAAATTTTATTTGAATTATGCAAAGCACATTTGGAGTTCAGAGTGTAACAGCCAAAAGCTCAATGAAAGCTTTGGTTGAAGGAGGAGGCATTTGAATGGTGCCTTAAAAATTGGATATAATTTGCACAAGAAGAAATATGACATGAGTTGTCCCAAGAAGAATAAACAAAAAGAATGAGGACATGAAAAGCACAGGGTATGTTAACTGAGAACAAGTAATTTAGCTTGGTCAGTGGAATCAGTGGCAGAGTCTGAGTAAAATAGTGGAAAGAGTGTGGGCCAGAGATAGGAAGATAATAACTAACACGGCGTTAGGGACTTGTTCTAAATATTTGACATATATTAAACTTACTTAATGCTTATAGCAATCCTATGAAGTAGAAACTATTATTGTTCACGTTGGAAGATGAAGAAATTGAGGCACAGAGGCTAAAGTAGCTTGCCGGAGGTCACAAAGCTAGTAAATTCATGGTACTCGAGTTGCATTTCTAAATGTAAACTTCTGCATTTACAAGAGATTTTTTTTTTTTTTTTTTTTTTTTTGAGATAGAGTCTCACTATGTCACCCTCAGTAGAATGCTGTGGAGTCACATCTCACAGCAACCTTTAACTCTTGGACTTAAGTGATTCTCTTGCCTCAGCCTCCCAAGTAGCTGAGACTACAAGTGCCCTCCACAATGCCCAGCTATTTTTTTGTTGTAGTTATCATTGTTTGGCAGGCCCAGGCTGGGTTCGAACCTGCCAGTCTTGGTGTGTGTGGCTGGAGCCCTACCCACTGAGCTACGGGCGCCACCATTACAAGAGATTTTCAACGTGACTTGTATTCATCTCTTATTATGG